TCACATTTGCAACATTTTGATTTTAATGCTAGATATAAAGAAAGCGCGGGAAAATGGAACAAAGTACCTTAGGGTAGATAACGATTTAAAAAGAAATAAATTAAAAAGTTTCTTTTCCATAGCCACACGTAAGCACACAAACACACATCTTAGCGCATATAAAAAATATTTTACAATCTCTTTGTTTCATTTGTTTAATATCCGTTCGAAACTAAAGATCACTAATAGCTTAAGGTCCTAAGCTCATTAATTTGTAGCAATTATTTATCATTGATATCTGCGCGTCCTCGCTCATGCACCCGTGCAAACTCAAAGGCACAGATCTCTGGTACTCCATATGAGCGCGAAATCTGATTATATGTATTTATGAAAGCAGTAAAGCAAAAGTTGCTACATTTTGCTCGATTTCATACATTTCTTAAAAATAAAGATAAGACTTTTTAAATTAAACGAAAATATCCGAGTTGTTCCAGTTGCTAGATGGTATAGAAAAAATTTTGAAGTGAGTGTAAATATTTGTTATTGAATTCGATAGAACCATCCATAGTCCATCCATAAGCAGGGAACATCTGAAAACAAAACAAAAACTAACCTGCACTTAACGTTTACTGTGAATATTAAAACAAACGCACGCCGCTTATGAGTATGTATAGAAGTATATTAAAAGCAATTTCGACGATTGTTCCGACACTGACATAACGATTAGTATGTATTTACTTCATTCTATAAATGGATGGATATAAATACTTTTTAAAAATTATTTCTTTCTTTATTTTCTGTTTTTAAGTTTTATAAAATCTTATTTTTCTCATTCGTTCGAACGTTTGCTGCTTTCCATGTGCTTCTGCATTGTGATATGTTGAAGTGGTGCGCAAACATTGAAACCAAAACGAAACAATATTAGTATAGAGTAACTGATAAAAAAAGGAAATGAAAACCATAACCAACCGAAGAATCTCTACCAAATTTTTATGATATGCAGTTTTTACCTTCGCAAACGAATGGGGTATGTATGTACGCGTGTATGCGATGAAGCTAACCATGCATCTTGCTATTTTGGTGGCAATCGTTAAAACCAAAATCACATTTGGAAGGAAAAAAAACGCTCAGTACTTTTTTTTTTTTTTTTCAATAGATACTAACTACGCTTTGCATGTACCTCGGTATGTGCCCAGACAAATTTTCAATTATCATATATTCAAAGTTTCCCTGGACGAGAGAGTGTTAAAAGCTTTCAATTGAAAAAACAATTTTTGCAAAAACACATTCCGACTCCGATTCCCGTACAAAAATTGGAGACCGAAAAGGAGGTAAATTGAAAAAGAAAATTAAAAGCAAACCGTTAAAACTATTTACATAAAACTGCGCACATACACACGTAAATGCCTTAAATTTCTGTTAGATTTATTAACACGCTGACGGTTTCAATCACTACGCAAGGATGTTAATTATTGAACCTATAAGAATTGTGTGTTAAGACAATATTCGTTTCGTTCAAATGACAGGTCGATCCAGTCCCTAATCCTAAAGAAAAGTTCAAGCCAAACATATTGTATTATCGATCGCTTTAGCAGCAAGCAGTTCAGCACAATTCCTTACAAGCATGACGTTCTATCATTGCTTTAAGGATTTTAAAGCAATTTTTTGCCTCATGCACATAAGACGCGAGAGACACGACACCCTTAACTATTTATATATAGTCATACCCTTTACTACACTTAGAATTTTACACAATAAAGCGAAAAGTAAAAAACAAACAGATTGATACCTGAACAATTTAATGCATCATTAGTGTTTTTCATTTTTCTATTTTTTTTTTTGTTTTTGTGCCTTTTTTGAGTTATAATGCTCTCGTTGCACGTCACTTGTTCAAAGAAAAATGTGAAAACGTTCCACACATTAATGCACATAGTCTTCATGATTACTTAGCGTGATTGATTTATGGTTTTTCGCAAAGCATAGCCTCTCATGAAAGCTCAAGTGGTTTATATTTTTTTATGATTTGTTTTGCTCTTCAAATCATTGATGTTATCGTCAATAATAATGATATTTAAAGGTAGTTTATAATTAGTAAAATCGTATTAACAAGTTCTTTACGTCATCAATTAAATTGTAAACGTAATGAAAACTCATTTATTCCTCTATTCATTATGCGAGCCAAGTGAAGTGAACTGACCAAGTGATAATTTTTTACCATGAAATTTTAATTTAATTCAAAGAAATACTAACTCGTGTCCGCATTCATAGGTGTTTTAGGCGGTGCCTATCGTGTACGATAGGTGCGCTTTTACAATAGTAAAGTTATTACTTATATGAGCAGGTTTGTCGAAAGAAGTGCTAAGACATCGAATTACATCTCCTCCTTATTACGCTATCTGCATAAAAAAAAAGGTAATTTGATCAAAGATTGCCTGCACTACAGCTCCTATAAATAATTCAGATTCTAAAACGCTCCAAAATTTCCCGACACTTTTTCCCGACGGAAATTCATAAAAAAGAAAAGGACACGTCTTTAATTTTTTTGTCTTGAAAATTTTAAAATCGATTTTAATTGGAGTTAAATCATGTATTTATGAGACTTGTATACTACATTAAGCACACTGAACTACCTCAGTTCGATCGATTCTTTATGTCCTACTTGTCCTTTTTGAAGGAAAATTAAGCCCACACGTCGAACTTTATGGTTCCATAAAACGCACCTTTAACAGGGGGGTTTCCATTAAGCATAGCTAGATGTGGTAAAAGTTGGAAAAAGTAGCTGATTAATTACATAATTTTACACATTAGTTATGTACCGATTGGCCAACTAATTATGTTTTGTTCGTTTGCGTTCATTATGTACTTGTAATTTTTGCGATTGTCAGTGCAATCACGTTCTGATCGACGTTTTCATCGCCGTGACGCTATATATACAACCAGACATCATTTAGACCGAGCTATCGAGAGCAATAACAATAACAAGTTTAATATTTAGGACAAACGGACGCCATTCCTCACACAAATAGATGGTAAAATTTGTAATGATTTATTTCACTAACGGTTGATGACTATATTCAGATCATGCAAAGTTGGCTAACATTTACATGAAATTTAGCATTAGGTAGGACCTGCGAAACAGAAACGTTATCGCCAGCCCTTGCAATTATGAAGGCGATCATTACACCGATTGGCCGGGTCAGTCCATTTCGGCTATGAGGAAATGAGAAGAATATTTCCGCACGTATAGCGGCTCGTGGGGTACACGAATCTCTTCAATAGTTAATCGTTGACTTCCCCGGTGAAAACCAAATGCGCATTATTAACTTAGTTTTCTTCCATTTATTAGACAGCAACTTGAACGCCCACTTTGCCGACCTTTCTGTTTGATGCTGACTTACGCATACAAGCTCCGGCACAAAAGCACACTATAAGGTAGACGAAAAGGATAGGTTAGGAAAAGATATCCTTTACTTTACATTTTTTTCCACTAGGTGCACTGTGTATACACTAGTTATTGAACTTGTACATCTGTCTATAAGACAGAGTTTAAGTGTTATATTTAACAACATCTTGATTTTTTTTCCTTTAAAGTAAATGGGCAGCAACTATGAAACAGAGATAAATAAAGGAAATGCTTTAATGCCTTTTACTTCTCTAACATGTCTAACAATCTCTTACAAAATATCGCAAAAACAGAAACATTTTTTCCTGTTACATGAGTTTCATCCATAAGCTCAGATGTCGAGATTCATTTAATGAAATTACATTTTTACGTAATTTTCCTTTCAGTGATTATCTCAAAATGACTTCAGGTGTATTTTGAATAGATTATAATCAGTTAGAGAAGCGCAATATCAGATTATCGTAGTTTGAAGATGGGATCAAAAGAAAAAAGTAGAAATTTATTAAGGATTTCAAGCCAAATATATGTATGTATGCGATTATGTAAGCAACCCTTTCTGCTTAACCAAATCAAATTTAAATAGATAACACTTTTTGCTTAGTGTGTTATATAAAAATGTTGAATACAATTTTGTTAAATAACTTAAACAAAGTTTTACTTAAAAAAGGCTTCGCTACAAACGACAATGAAAACGGAAACGTATTATAAGAACCAAACTTCCATGTTAAGAAAAATGTCCTTAATAGAAGAAAACCGCAGGCATTTTTTTCATCTCCAAATGAATCTTTCACATGTTGCTCGAGCCATCTTTGCCCGAGCCACCTTTACCTACCTTTAATGAGCATTGATGTAAAATTCCTGATAATAATATGAAGAGTAATGTGATTTAGCATCAATCTGCTCTGAGTCGAATGTGCGTAAGCATTGTTCGATCAGTTAAGTAAAGAGCACTGTAGATCTACACGATTCCTTCCTTACGAATGAATCAAATAAAAAAAAAAAGCACCAGCATCAGTTTCACTGTGTTTATGGACGGTATTAGTTGAAATCGTTTAAATTCGGAAAATAATTCGAAAAAAAATTGATCACTAATTCAACTGAATCAAGAGAAAACTTGGGTTAACTGAAGAATAGAAAGCCACAATAAAGGCAAAGAACGTTAGGTCGACAACATTTTAAATTTAAATTGCAAATGTAATATTTTCAGTAATATTTGTCATAAATATGACGGAGCAGTGATGGCGTCTTTCAAAAAGTAAACCAAATATAAATGTGCGTCAATTCAATCAATCGTGTGAAATGAAATAAGAAAGTAATTATTAGATAATATGTGGTATTGAAAACAATAGCTGCAGGAATAGGCGACGACTGACACATTTATGTGTATTTACACACGCAGACCAAATTAAAAGGAAACCACTTGAGTAAACCTAAATGAAGATAATAAACATGAATTATAATAATTAAAGGAAAAATAGATTGAAACGCTTTACAAGGTTAATATTATTTTTCGCTTTAATAAAATGTCTCCCCCACAAGTGCCAGATAGTCGAAATTCATCGACAGAATTGTTAATCTCGGACGAAGACGAAGAATTTAAAACATTTTATCCTGAAATTCAAAGCCTTGTGACCATCATAGTACCGGTCTGCTTTGGCATTATAGCTTTGACCGGTTTCTTCGGCAATACTTTAGTAATACTTGTGGTTTTGTTTAACAAGAAAATGCATTCAACTACAAATCTTTTAATAGTCAATCTGGCAGTGGCTGATTTACTATTTGTCGTGTTATGTATTCCCTTCACCGGTACCGATTATGTTATGGAGAATTGGCCATTCGGTGATACTTGGTGTCGAATAGTTCATTATTTGATTGTTGTAACCGCTTTAGCCAGTATTTATACATTAGTTTTGATGTCTGTTGATCGGTTTCTGGCTGTTGTTCACCCAATACGTTCGCGAATTTTACGCTCCAAGAAAGTTATCAAAATTTCATGTGTTATCATATTATGGATCGCGATTGTGACTATCACTGCGCCGGTAATCATGCTACATGGAACTGTGGTAAGTTCTTGAAGTACAAACACAACCAATCTGTTGACATTGACATTGTTGTTCTTTACATTTTATACTGTATAGGTAACCTTTGAACCAGTTAAAGAACACCATGTGTAGATCTGGCAGCCCTAGTAGATATGTAGCTAAAATTTACTTGAAAGAACAATTTTAATGCCTTACGACTTAATAGGATTAGCCAAGTAAGAGACACGGACTATTGAGACGCTATGTCTACTTTGTGGTACATCTTTAAATGACAAACGAGATCTTTATTCGCGAAAGCACGCCCGCGTTATAATAGTTTATATAGTTTGTATTTACGTTCGTAAACTTATTGGGAACATTTCCCCGTGAAAAGTGAGAGACAGCGCAGATTTAATCCTAGTTTTAAAAGAAAAGGTCGATATGCGTTAAGATGCATGCGATTGTCGGGTTACTAAACACTGTCTTACAATCTATGATGTTCCTCGAGACTTCTGTCATTTGGGATACGCAAAGGAAACAGTTTTGTCCTTATAAGTAGTAATTGCTCTTAAATGAGGTCTTTTTTAGTTTGCGTTACTTGCGTAGATGGCAAGCCAGAGTAGAGAACTTTTAAATTTGAAATTGTTCAAGGTAGTTGGCGAACTTAAAGCGTCATTCATTTTGCAAACGCATCGCAATCAATGCAAGCGCGCTATTTTTAAGGCCATCATTTAAAATTTAAATAAACTTTCCCCATCAGTCGGCCTGATTGGTATGCGAAATTGTATAAACAATATTTCAATTTAAATCTCAACGTGCAAAAATATAAAAATATTTCCTTTCCGGCCTCTCATCAAACTCTTTCACACCTTCGTCTCTACGGACGAAAATATAAAATTTAATATTTATATTTACGATATGTGTTTGCATTTGGTACAGAAAAATTCGTTATCGCTTTGTTAAAAAATAATCGCACAAAAATATTTTATTTAGATATACAATACAATACAATACATGTTGATATGACGACTGTGTTGTTTCATAAAAATGAAATTCGAAGAGTTCGACATTTGCATTATTAATGTTATTTCAAGCTAAGATTCCGAAGATTTACCCTCCCAAATGAAACGCACTAGATGAACTTGCAAGGCGAGATGAAATTCCACAAACTACACGTTTGGCAATTAATTACCGGCTCTTTAGTACTACTACCAACCTTGCAGTAAACCATATACGATTCTTGTTTTCACATATACCTTGTTCGACACACTCCTTCCTTTTACACAACATAATCTGAAAGAGGAATTTTGTTTAAGTCTTAGCGGCTTGACTTCAATGCCAACGCTTGCTTAAACCAGCAGTTAAATGTTTTATTTACAGAAAATTAACAAATATCATACAGATCAGACGGCAATAAATAATCATGGAGGAAGGGATCTAATCATTTAGAAGCTAACTATAAAGACAAGTGATAGGATAGAAGAAACTGAAAAAGATCGAAAAGGTAAAGAGAACTTAATTCGTTTTCGGTAGCCATCGGCATGGAAGCGTTACTCTCTTCTTTATTGAGAACCCATCAGAGGATCACTTGAAAGCCCTCCTTCTATACTAATTGACCCAGATAAATAAATACGCTAAACAAAATTTTGTGTATTTCCTGGGATTAAGTTTTTCATGCTATTATATGTGTATGTGTTAAGAGAAAACTCTCTACCGAAATTTCCATCTAGAGCCCATATCAAGAGCGGGGAATTCTGGCTGTTGCAAACGTTATAAAAAAGTCGGTGCGCTTCTGTCTATCAATCGATACGAAAATTAAAAGTCGAAATATACGAAATGCAGCGATACGCATAAGAGTGTGTAAACATGTTTGCAAACTCTATACTTACATTTGAATGTGTTCATGGAAACATGCATTTTCTAACAATCCTAACAAATAATAAATTTCACAATTTATAGCTTTCAATCATCGGCACGTCATCGACCATGCGTATGTGTTGAGGCGATAAAAATTGTATTCATATGCAGAGCGCCCATCATGTTTACATAGATACAGGTTATTAGAGAAATGAAATATTGAGAGTTTGCGGAACGATTGCGTTATCGTTCCGCTGTATACGAGTGTAAGTTGTCTTTAAGGGCAACCAAATAAATATTCCGTTTATTCGCTTCGAAGAAATTCGCACTGAATTTATAAAAGGTTATCTAAAACGTGTAGTGAAACGTTAGCCCCTTCTGCACAAATCTTAGAATTCGCAAGAACTGATAATTTTCACATTTACAATTTCTCTGGGCTCAATTTTTCCCAAGATTTGTCTCGAATTTCCCTCTTCGGAAAAGGAAATCGGTTTGCAATAGTGCAAATCACTCAGAAAGTGCTCCTTAGTTGTGCGAGACACGATATGAAATACGTAGAACATACGATGACTACAATACAACCAACATACCCAATAAATTGTTTACCGCTCCGTACCAATGCTTCCTTTTGACAAGAGGAGAGAAGATTTAGACATACTCACGGCTTCCATTAAAAGCGAGAGGTTTCAATTTTTCCATTTTGATAATGTTATTCACAATTGTTGCCCATAAACAAATTGAAAACAGAAATAGGAAAAACTCGCCGAAACCGATTATTTACATCTGCGGTTAACGCAATTGAAAAGTTTTGTAAAGAGCTTTCTTTCTTTCTGTATAGATAAATGCTCTTATCCACACGCACACGTTAAAAGCGTTGACTTTCATGCGTCTTATAATAAAAACTGATATGCTGTGAAAGTACAATTTATTAGGATTAAAATGGCTGCTAGTATCATTTTCGGTGTAGCAAATGTTTAAATTAACTGAACACATGCAACCGAAGATTCCGAGAATATGTTATAAGCGAGAGAGAACGAGAATATGTTATAAGCGTCTTCAAGGGTCAAGTAAAACTTTGTCCCTAAGTCCAGAAAAAATGTTTGAGACAAATATTTGCCGTTACCATCTCCAGAGCCAATTTAAGAGACAACTGCAATCCGACGGTATCCGCATATCCACAATGATCCAAATGGTCTACAAAATTTGCATAAAACTGCTCCACTTGTTTTATTTCTCTTTGTTTTTTCCATTATAAGTATATTTATGCTTGCACTAAGCTGTGGTCTTATCATCGTTATGCATTTTATCACAATGATCCCTTTAATCAACAGAAATACAAACCTCTCGGCGTCACTATGGTCACCTGCTGCTTTAAGAATTCCAACAGTTTTCTATCCGTGGCCGATTATCAAATAACGTTTTTTGCTGGCTCGTATTTATTCCCATTAATGACGATTAGCGGACTCTATTTACGAATGATTACGCGTCTATGGCGGCAAGGCGGCGACATACGTATGTCTGTAGAATCACAACGCGGTCGTAAACGTGTAACAAGACTTGTTGTAGTCCTGGTTATAACATTTGCATTATTATGGCTCCCAATACAAGTAAGCTAACACGTGCACATAGATATGTTTCCATATATAACATAAATAATGATGGACGTGTTTACAACAACATAAATGCTAACAACAAACAACTGTTTACAAGTTGTTCACGGTGTTGTCAAATGTAAGCACTGCCGTCCTTATTGACAATGATGCTAATGATGATTTTATGTTTTAACATTTAGCTGATACTGCTGCTAAAAGCATTGAATTTGTATCATGCAACCACTAAATTAAAAGTGGTTCTACAGATTGTCGCCCAATTATTAGCTTACACTAGTTCGTGCATTAATCCGGTTCTCTATGCCTTTCTGTCGGACAATTTTCGTAAAGCATTTCACAAGGTGAGTGAATTTTTTAGACAAGTTATTTATTTCAATCGTTGCCAACAGATATCCGAGAGAGCAAAACCGCCCGACTAGAGTTTCTCATATTCTAATAAAAGTTTGCAAATGTATTAATAGCTTATACCTCCGTCAAGCCCACTAATTACTAATTAGATAAGCTATCGCTAAACTTATAAATATTTAATTTTATAAACAAATTTACTAAATAAATATTCGCAAAAAATGATTGCGGTTTTCTTGCATTATCTGCTGAAATTTATCAAAGTACTTTGAAAAAATCGTTTCTCGTTCTAGTCCTAGCATCATGGAAAATCTACAAAAGGGGCTACTTTAGCTCCGGCCTATATGCGGCCAATTCTTCCTGTAGGTGTAACTTGAAGCACTGCAGCCAGCAAAAATTAGAAAATCAAAAAGTGATTTCCCGCTTTTACTTTCAATAAAAATTAAATTTTCCCTTAAATTGATTTTTGAAATCGCGTGAGAAAAAATCATATTTACACCAGATTTTCCAAACAAAAAAATGCTTGTAATATGTAAGGTTTTGTCGCCATCGATTGATAAAGATACATATGTTTCGTTAGCCCTTTTGCCCTTTTGCAAGAAGTATAGAGCGATCCACTTGGAATGCAAAACGAAAGATAAAAAAATTCCAAAACATTTGTCGTAACATATTGCGGACTGTTTTTCAAGCACCGATTTAAAAGCGGAACGAAGATGTGGAAAACTTTTCACCTCTTCTGGTTTCGAATTAACACTACTTAAGAATACGGACAAGAGATCTTGTGAAATGGTTACTTAATTTGACTCAAGAAACTTGCTTTGTATAGTACCCACCTACAATGCCTCCGCCACAAAATTCAATATATAAACATTCAAAGCAAAAATCAACCAACAAAACTTTACTTGGACATAGATACCCAATGTATCGTTTGGTTACACATTTTTAAACAAAGCAATACAAACGCTGGGCGTCAAAGCATTCGCCGCAAACCGAAATTTTCTCTTTCTTTTTTCCTTTTTTTTAATACATTAAGAGATTATACAGTTTTTAAATTAAATCATAACATTTTTACTTGCTGCTGCATATAATGTATATAAATAGAAAAATATTCATATATAAATAAACAATATATAATTTTTTATTTAACTTTTGGCATAAAAAAATTCAAAAATATTTTAATGAATTTTCTCATTTACTTCACATTTAGAGATTATGGCAAAAGCTGTAATAAAAAATATTTATTTACATTATCACATGACATATATATATTACATACAAATATATACACATGCTTTGTCACGTGATATGATATTATAAAAATGGCATAACTTATAAAACCGGTCTTCATAAAAATTGTCTGCTTGAATACGAAAATTGCCAAAAATAGAAATAATGGAGAAGCGTTTAAAGCGAATAAGGATATTCTGGGTTTTGCCTCGCGCTGTCAGAAAATAGAGGCTGAAGATTAACAAAAGGGTGAACAGGGAATCCTCCCGGTAAGAGGATTACCAAGAGTAACGAAAATATATGTGGCGTTCCTCAGTTGCAATGGGTTACTTGAGTCACGACTTCGAAGAGTGAAAGGCAAAAGAAGAGCGGAAACCAAAGTCAAGACTATTGTAAATTCACAGTCCAGTAGTGCGGAACCTAACGAGACCATATTTGGGAACACATGTAAAAATGCAAAGCAGCCTTTTAGATAACATTGCTTTTTATCCAAAATTTACAAGTACCAACTATTCAAATACCTTGTATAATGCAGTGGTAGCGCAAATCGCCATAGATCACTTCTCATCATAACTAATAGGTTTCGTGGGTAGTTGGCAAAAATAAGTAAAAAAATTATAGGATCAATTTGCAAAGAATTTTTCGTAACCGCTGTCTTAAAACCATGTAAAGCAGGGTGAAGCTTTGTTTTTCTTTTCATTGGGACGATAATATCAATTTTTATACTGATTTTTATGTGCGGAACCAAACCTAATAAGTTTATTTGCTACAGGCAATGCACTAAGTTCGTCCATTTTCAAAGATGGCTGTCAATGTTCTCCACTCTATTGTAATATTTGCAACCATAAACCGACGATATTTCATAAGATCGAGGACAAAGGAAGACTTGACGAGATCTTCTCTAAATTTTAGGCTAACCGCTCTTAAGTTTCTATGTGTAGTCGCGGTTATATAGCAGAAATTTACCTTAAGCACCTGCCAGAACACAAGAGCAACTAAAGCACCAAAAATTGTCAAGTTTGCCTAAAGGCGAGGTGAAGTCTACACGGTTGCAAGCGTACGTAGTCCACAATTTATACCAGATGCTTAAAATTGTTCCTTTTAATGACAAAAGTGATCACAAGAAATGCGCAGTTTAATCAAGAAAAGAGCGAATGGAAATATCGAAAGCCTGTTAAATAGCTTAGTGCATCTCTGTACTGTAAAGTTATTTTTGCATCTAGTTTCACATTTCACAATGATGTTGACTACGTTCTAATAAAATTGTTAAAAATTGCTTGAATTTCAACTTCATATCCAGCTATCATCCCACTCTTCGCTTTGCTGCTGCTGACCTATAACTCTTCCTCTCATGTTTAAATTTTGTAATTCTCTCTTTTTTATGTAAAAATATTAAATTTTGTTCTATCAACTCGGCGTACATTCATTGATATATATATATACATACCTTCATATGCATTCAATTTTCTATAATCATATTTGTTTTCATATTCAAAACGGTTAAATTGACACAATTATGATGTTTATTCTTTTGTTTTTTTATGTTTTATTTTTTTTCTGTAATATATAATATAATATAATAAAATGATTTTATTTACCTTTAAATACATTTATCTTTGTCACGCAAAAGGGCAATTTCAGATATTTATTAAACATTTTGAAATCACAATTTTGTGCCTTTTACTAGCAAAGGGTTTACTTTAAATAGCGCTTTTTGGAAATACATGTCATTCAGCCTTTCTCGATATCTATTAATTTGTCTACTTAACCGTTAACCGTTAACTGTTCCACGCAAACTTCAAAATATATTACATTTTTGCGTAAATATTGGCCAATCGATGGATGTGCCGATGATTAAATTATGCTATCCCCAAACTTGGAATTCTTTTTCGTAGCAAGTTAGTAACAAAAACGCATTGGAAACCTGTGTTTCTCGATATGGGTTTTTTCCGGCACGTTTCTGGTTGTTACAAGTGATCTGACCAAACTAGCATATCCTCAATCGCTAATAGTCGCTATAAAATTGTTAATTAATTAAAGTGATAGCACTTAAACCGCAAAATGTATGCAAAATAAACAAATATTATATTTTTAATATGTTCCTCTCTCTTTTCATATCTGAAATTTTAAAACTCTACAGGTTCTAAATTCATTGATAGAATTCTAATAGAAAACATACGAATTTTTACACATCTATTACATAGGAGGTACAGAACATGCACATATGCAAGGCAATCCCGTAAGGTGTATACTACATACTCCCGATATGTATGAGGAGCGGCATCGGGTTAGCCTCGTAGATCCGCCTGAAGGGTAATATTAGCCCCAAATTCCTAGTTTAAGGTCGAGATTTAAGATGGAACTAAGTTTCTTGACAAGCTCCCTGGGAATTACACAACACCGATTTACTAAGTCAAGTCACTAAAATTGCGTAACTCATAGAACAGAGCCTTACATTGAAGCTTCTTATCGTTTTTTTTAATAAAATTTCTTTGTCAAACTTGAGAAGCAGCTCATTGAAGTCAAGGAATCTGTTGCATTTACCAGAAAACTATATACCGATACTGACAAATCACGAGCATGTTTATACAAAGTATTGTATAAAGTACTGTTAAGATTACAGGATATGAGTGGAGCGACCTGAGACCAATATACGGACTGAACAGATCTTTGCCCTGAGATCCTTGATGTGCTTGTTACCTCCAAGCCAAATATAAATGTTTGTAATAAAAAAAGAATTCAAAATGGAAGTTTCACCTCAATTTAATCAAATAATATAAAAAACCCGTTGGATAATGTCCGTAGCATAAGTGTAAAATTTTTAAAAAAAGTACCCGAACTCTTCACAAGGCCGCGTAAATCCAGTTATTATAATTTGCTTTTTCGCGCTTGTTCAATGCCGATCAAAATACTTCTACTCATGGTTCTTTTTGAATCATGCAATAGGCAATTCTTGTGCAAAATATTCAGATATTTTATCACAATCGACTTGGCTTCAAAACGATGAGCAGCACTCTGCTCTACTTGAAAACCAGGAAATATTATTAATGAAGCACGCATTGTACTTATGATGAAAATCAATACTAGAAAATAGTAGCGTGCGTTAAAAAAAATTTAATTTTTAAAAAACAACACATTTAAACTTTAATCAATGTCAGAAATGCTAATAGTGATGAACTTTAGCAAATTAAATTTTGGCATGTAATCTATTGAGCTTTGGCTGACGGTAGGTATTCATGAAATGCTGTAAGACAATTGCAGCTTTGTTTGTTTTTCTTTTTTTTTGTTTTAAACATTAGTTGATAATTAAATTTAATATGAACAATAAGAAATAATGGAATTATTTCATGGCTGCAATTCAAACTGAAAGAGGCTTTAAATTTAGAGTTAAATCTCTATAGTACACATATAGCAATTAATTAAATTGTTACAAATATTTATGCATATTTAGAAGCATACACGCCCGCATACATAAAATCATATATACATACATTTATATATATCTAGATTTACTTTTAATTGCCAAAATTCGTTTTTACACCCTGCACCACTTATGGAGTCGCTTCACCAGAAATACGCCCATTAAAAATATGCAAGATAAAATTTTTGTGTTCTAGAACAAAAATAAGGCTTCTTGTAGGGAAACCTAGGATGTAAAAAGCTACGCAATAAATGCATATATATTTAAAAAGAAACTCAAATTATGATAAGAATGTTACGAACTATACGCAATTCCATATCCAAGTGGACAGAGGGTCTTCATATGAATATGCTATCCTGAAGCAAGGGCAATTGCTTAAGATATCAATTGTTATGTCTATGATTTGGTTTTTGAAAGCAGTCTATTAATTCATTTTCCGAGACCAGAGCCTCCCAGTTGGATTAGTACCTGAGATCTCAATTGACGTATTTGATCGAAGGACGCATTCATTTAATACACTTGAATTAATCTGACTCAACGATATCTCATCGTTTTCGTTTGCACGTCAAGTTGTAACAAGAGCCGTAACTTTGGCATGTTACTGTCCTGCTGAATTGCTGCAAAAAAGAAACGGTAAATCGGACCGAGCTCTAGTATTAAGACCGAAAATCGCAGGAATCCCTTTGACTGAAACGACAACAGTAGAATCAGATTGCTAATAACGTATGAATCAAGTGCACGCAATAATTCGGAAGCACTGACACATGTGTAACGTAAAAAACTGCAGTTTCTTTTAAAGTTCACGAACATCCATTGCATCCGCGTTTGTGGGCTTACGGAACGTGTTTATCGCTTAAGTACATTAACCTTTCAAATTTTCCAAGTGACATTGTCTGTGAAACAAAGAGGTTGCCTAAGGACGAAAAAAATGCATAAGTCTACAGGACTACCGTCTTGTCAAGTTAAAACTTCTATTATGTAATAAGATCTAAAAGTTAGTTCGTAGACTAGATCACGATCAACAAAAAGTTCAACTTTCGCATTTTTCGCTTCGTATTTTGTTCTATTCAGTCGTTCAGCATTATCTGCGAGCTAACTTCACAGACTTTGTATCCGTATAATGCTTTATTTTTTATTGTGCTGCATCATTCGCATACATACGACGATATATATGCAATATATATGCAACGCTTAGTTAACTTACACTTGTATCAAAGAATACAAAATCTTTTATATTTACAATACCATCATAGAATTTCGATACATTGTCTATGAAGTTAAGACTTGTAAGCTGCATATATATGCAACGATACATAGCTTTGTTTTCCTTTCTTGTAATCCATTATCTTAAAAACCCTAAGAGCGACATATATGCATGTAAACCTAATTATAGTTTCTATAGAGATTTAATTTCGAATTAACTTAATTAATAGTATTATCAATTATTTACTTTACGCATGAATAGCATTTTAGAGACGTTATATGTCAATCATATGCTTCTTTATGTTTGCATTTCATATTACTTTAGCACTCATCTACTTATTTACGCCCACTTACAGTACGCACTCAAAGAATAATAAATATTGCAATCAATGAGAATCGCAAAACTATTTGTAATCTCCTTTATTTATGCAGTCGCAAAAGTAGCGAACGATTTATTCTTTACATTTATGTCAACAAAAGTATTCATCAAAACGCTGAATAGATATAGAACATAATAAAATGAATTTCCGTGCGTACGTAAATTTGAAATTGAAAAGTTTATTATACGAATATAAAATATTGGGAAGAGGGAGAGAACAGCAACGAATCGAACCGGCAAAAACTTGTAATCGAAGACAAGCGAGCGGATTGATCCGATAAAGCCTATCACGTACAATCAATTTCCTTTTGGAATACACTTCAGTATTTGAATTGCTCAGATCTCCAACATTATTTCTGCCAAGTTTGAAATCGATATCTGTATATTTAAAATAACGGTTTATTTTCCTCTTGTCTAATTCATTTTATGATCTACTAAGTGGTCTTTGAGTTCTTAATATTAAGCTTAATTAGAAAATGAAAAGTGCTACAAAAAAAAAACATATAGATCCGCTTAAGATCTTTGTATCTTTAGACGGTTAGCGTATGAAAAAAAAGCAATCCAAAAGTTTGTAAGCACTGATAGAGAAATCGTCTGCTTTACAACTCATTATGTTATGCTATGCGTAAATAAGGCTTTATTAAAGTTTTTTTTTTGTTTAATTCATAATAAATATTAAATTTAATAATCGTTTATTATTTGTAATATTTTACAGGCCATAAATTGTTCGAAACAGGAGAAGTGTGTCTCAACCACTTTGCCACCACTGCGAAAGACTTCATGTTCGAGAACATCAACAACAGGAGTGTAAATCTATTTATGTATTATTATTATTATTATATATGAATGCATCATGCATGCTTTTAGCGTTCATCTATATACATTATAGGAGGATAATATAATAGCTTAGCTTTTAGCGAACCGCACCAGTGTTCAGGTTTTTACAATATTTAAGTGCACTTTTTTCTGCTGAACACGATGCTGTGTACAGAACAAACAAACAAACAAAAAAAAAAAAAAATATAAAAAAATAAGCAAATTAATTTTAAATTAATTTATGTGTTGGAAAATGATGTTGAAATTTTATTTTATTTATAAGTTTTCTGCGTTAAAATATATTTAATTAATATTAATTGATTTATAACTTTCTATCCTCCTTTTTGTACGCAATAATTCGGAATTAGAAATATAATGCAATCGCTGGGCCGGCCCGATTGTACCTCTTAACTCACCGCCCTCCACACCCCTTAAAAACATTATTTACAGAATATGTGAAGAGTGAAGTTTAATAATTTCCCCAAACCTTACACCCCTTACGCAAAGTCAAAAACTAATCTAAAGAATTATTGCATTGTACGTGTGTGCGAAGATATAGTATGTGATAATTACTATTTGCGTTTCTATATGCGATTGTTTTTACAGTGTGTTGACATATTTTCCCTTAATGTGCAGTTAATCTTACCTCGAAATAATTTATTGTTATTGGTTCAATATCTTTGATGGACAACTACCTTTATTTTCTGTTTGAAATCTTTCTTTGAATGCTTAAGAGTGTTTGCCCTAACTGAATCAATATTACAAGCGCATAAGCAAACGTATAAAAAGTGTGCTTTACATTATTTTAGGAAAATGTGTTCATCAAAAAAAAAAAAAAAAAAAAAAAAGACCTAATATGGTCAAATATAAATATCTCTAAATCACAGTTCTAAACAGATTTTCTTGTGAATGCTTAAATGCCACGTATGCATACATTTTTACACACTACATTTGTTTTAATGCCACTGTTTGCTATTTTTATGTTAGCATTTAAAGTTGTTCTTAAAGTAATTTCTCTTCATTTCAATTACCGATGTTGTATACTGAACTCTAACGCAATCATACTTGCACACTTTGACATAATGCGTAATAAGTATAAAATTTTGCTATAAAACTTTTTCCGGTTTGTTTATGTTACATACGTATATTACAACGAAGACAAATCACAGTATTGCATGTTTATGTATGCGTGTGTGTGGTCTATGTATCACTGCAACAGCAGTAAGTGACTGGTAGTAGTTACAACAAAATCATCATCATCAAGAACATGTGATATGGTGTTGTCTAAAAACGAGCAAAGCAGACCTAAGTTACAATTTATGGCAAAGCGCCACAACAGGAAACCGTCTTTCCTCTCTACTAATAACAATACAAAACACCTACACATTCAGTAGCAGCCAACATCCATTTCGCAATACATTTGTATATATCTGTATATATACATATACCCACCACCAACTAACCTACGACATGCTCATGCATCAATACTCAGACAAAGTGAAACACATAAAATTGCACTGAAATAAAATCCTTCCACTACTGACCTATATGTGTGCATGCATAAGTATATACGTTATAAGTTTCGTCCAAATTTTATTACGTATAATAATGTAAAACAAGTGTTAAGTAAAACCTTATGATGGTTTATAAGAATTGGCCATTGTGACAGGCACATAGGCAACATGCTCTCCAACTCGAAAGTGAAACGTTACTGAACTGAAATATTTTGTTTCAAAACATTCTCGTTGACAATCCAAATTGTCAGCACCAAACCTTTAACATAACTCCGAAAAATCTGTGGTGGATAGATAACAGTAGTCTCAGCTCTGTTAAGCGACAAACGAAAGAACGGAAATGATACAATGCTCTAAAACCAACAATCAATTGAAATCAGCACAACGATGAAGTGCAACCGGAGGATTTCTTGGTGAATTAATTTTATTTAATTAAAAAACTTCCTTGACTAACAGAAGCTAATTATTTGGAAGAAAATTGAAGTCTTTATATACATTCAAGCTTTCCAAAATTTTAAATGATGCAAGAGATTCGAAATTATATAATTATGGCAACCGCTTGTGACATTTTTCATCTCTTTTTAAATATGGGTCACTTTTTCCTACAACCGATCTATCATATGCTTCTTAAAGCAACATAGTCTTCGTACGTCATTCTTACTATTACAGAGAGAGTGAACTGCATTGTACTTACCGACTGTCCAGTTACATCTTTGCAAAGTTAAGCCACACAATTCCACCGATGATAGTGTTCATTGCGATGCTGAAATTGCCTGGGACTTTCCGTCCGTCGACTTTCATTAATTACACACGCGATATTTACTTGTAGTAGTAATAAGAATTTAACGAATATCACATTTTCAAATTTTCACATTTACACGTTTTTTTCTAACGACAATTTAAACGTGAATTTTTTAAAAAGGATTTTATACATTCTGCAACTCGTTTATTAGCACGTACTTAAGCAATGTTTTTTACAACCACTTCAGTCACGATCTGCACGCAAATAATGCATTCAAATTACCGGTTTCCGAATCATTTTTTTACGCTGAAAAAGAAATTGCCTGCTGTAAGTTGTAAGAGTTTGAAAAAGCTTCTTTTTTGTCTATTGCGCTCGATGATAAGCAAAAAAATCAATATGTATAAAAAATGTGATAGTAAAAAAAAATCTCCCGTAAGTAGAAGTGGGCTGTTTGGCATAATACTAAATACATTTATACACTTATGTAATTCAATTTGCAAACTTTTTTTATCCTTCTTTTTAATTTCGATTAACTTCTTTTTTAAAACCGACTTATCACATGCTTCCTTTACAAATTTATATTTTGCATGGCCTGATGGCGCTCTTACTATTAAAGCGAAAGTGAAGAGAGTTGCTACACGATTTCGCTCTCATAACCAATGATAATATTCATTGAAATGCTCAAAGTACTTTGCCATACCCAACGATTTTCAACAATTGCACAAGCAATATTTATTTGTACTAGCAATAGCAAATTAATGACGATCACTTTTCACATTTCCACGTTAATTTTCCTCATTTTTATATAAGAACTCTTCAAAAAGAATTTCACAACTTCTCCGATTCGTTTGCTAGCACGCGATTAAGAAAATTTTTCCCGACTAAAACAATTGCTCTCTAGGAACAGTGTTGTCATATTTGAAATAATTTATTCAAATTGCTGATTTTTGTACACTATTTTTATTCTGAAAAGCCATTGCCTATGAGAGGTTAAATGAGTTTTTTTAGTCTGTTACTCTCCAAGGTATGCAATACAATATTTTTTGTATAAAAAATTTTATGAAAGAAATGCCGGTGAAACCAACTAAGTATTCTTTTGCAGTTTTTTATATGAGGATCTGATAAATAATTTTAATCGATTCCTTTTATAATGAAATTCATAATAAATTTCTTCTCCATCTTTCGAAGACCATTAGCCCAATTTACATAAACCCTTGAAACAAACAGCTAGCCATCGTCCGGAATAACGTAGATCTTGATTAGTACACGAATCTATTTTATTTACAAATAAGACACAAAGAAATACATTTCAAAATAAATATTTATTTTTGTACTTATCTTTCATTTAATATATCGATATCTCTTGAAACATACAGTTATTACGCAATAATTATGTTTTTATTAGCTTGTTTCTTGTTTTAGAAAAATATTTGTATTTATATTGGTGATCAATTAAATCTTTTGTATTCAATTAAATATTTTCTATTTTATAAACTTAACATAAATATATCAAAGAGAATAAAAAACTGAAAGTATTTCCTATTCATTTTCGAGTGTGTGATCTTCAGACTTGCACCCTATTTACAGCTCGATACCATAAACTGCGACATATTTTTAACTTATAGTGACGTTTACAACCGAATTAACAAAAAGTTGTCGTTATAACAATAGTTATAATATAATAAAATTTTTACGCCCTGTTTTAAGCACAATCACGCAGGTATAAACAAACAAACGAACAGAACATTACACTTTTAATAGATATAAAGCAAATTCGGCCACTTAAGGTACCCATTTAAGAATTTTGCATTTTGAAATTCTGCTCTGAGTAATTCGATACACAAAGTCTACCAACACAAAGAAAAAGATGTCAAGCATCCACGGTCAAATAACGCATTGGTTGCGGGTTGAAAAAAAAAACCTAAAATTAATAGAATATTCCTTCTTCCCAATCTGTTCGTTTTTATCTTTTTTCAATACACGCACAGCATTCTAATCTCATTTCAGAAAATTTGAAACAGTAAAACAGGGGGGAAAATCGGGGATGGGAAAAGATAAGGAAAGAGCAAAAGAGGGATAGAAAGAGAAAAAAGCAAAAGCAGATAAAGTTTTTGCTTATAATAAAACTATATACAGCAGCAATCTTTGTTTTTCCTTCTACGATTACTGATTTCTAAAAACGATTGCAATCTGAAGTTTAGAGAGAGTTTGATATTTAAGAAAAGGCAGCCAGCTTAACTTGTTAAATGGAAAAGTCTTTAAAGGCGGAAAATCTCAGGAATCGTTTCTTCTTCCTCTGCTTTAGTTTCATTCATATATATGTACACTTACACTTACTTACGTATTTATCTTATCCTGGTGGGAGACATTATTGGCTTAGTTAGTAAGCGATAGTGCGAGGAGCAGAGAGAAAAGTTGAAAACAGATTGCTATCTTACTGGCAATTAGTTATTCATGCTTAATACTTGAAGCAAAAACTTTACGTTCCAGTGTAACACATAGTGTATGCTGTGCTAAACTATGCTTTATTAACTAACAAACTGCCTAACCCGTTCCAATCCTTTACCGCGGTGATTACTTACTTGTCTCTCTCTTATTAATGGTCGCCTTGCAGCGAATACTTCCAGAAAACAGATGAAAAACTTTAAGATTTTGCAATTAAATAAAGGATTAATATGTAATTGGTAGTTGAGCGCTTTACCATTGAAGCGATATTATACGTTCGATAAATCTTAAACTTAAATAAATTTTAATTTCTTTTCTTAAGATATTTTGCTTCTTTTCTTTGCGAAACTTTCATATTTTGCCTAAAGTTATATAAAAAGCAGCCAACGAACTTTTTTCCATTCCGTACCTAGCACTACAATATAACACATTACTACGTCCATACCACTTCACGCTCAGCAATTATTGTTAACACTTTCGTGCTTCGCTTTCAGTGTAATTTACAGGCTTTGCAACATCTTGTTGTAGACTTTAATATGATGAAATTCCTTGAAGGCTTCACGAAAACGTTGTTTTTGTTCTTTGCTCAATTTCATATAGAAATCTTGTGCAGATGTCACGAACATACCAATTTCGTGATGACCTAATTTCGCAGTAACCTCATCATCAGCAAATCCATGCGTCGTCGTTGTTGCTGCCGCCGCCACTGCTACATTCGTTCTTGTCGCCGTTCGCACACCATAGTTAAGAACCAAAGGAAATAGTTTCATTAAATGAGGATTTATTGATGCCGAAAGCAAGACAACAGTCAGGCTCCACACCGCTTTCGGTTCATTTAGAGACAGAAACGTGGGTAACGAGCAGGTCAGCCAATCTTGTAATTGTTGCAAAAATGAAGAATCAATGGCCGAACGGAATACCTGTTGAAAGAAAACGAAGAAGATATATGGAAAAAAGGACGACTCACAAAAAATCTTCATTAATCATAGCAAAGGATTTATTTTTTCTCTCTCTGTTTTTATCTGTCTTCGGTCTTCGTATCTATCTATATCTATAAGTGTGTGAATATTTACCTATATACAGTCTTTGTCATACACTTATTTTTTCCATTTAATTTAACTAATTAGTATTTTTCTTACGCTATTGGCTTTTTCGTCATTTTCTTTTATCTCCATTTATGGGTTTCAATATTGATTGTTGAGCTTTCTTAGATTTCTTAACTGACTACACCTTCAATATGTTTTCGTCTTCATTTTATAGTAACTGAACAACTATATATATATATATATATATATATTATTAAATTGCATGGCAAGCCTTGTTCGCTTACACAATCGCTCACTTACCTGAAATACAATCATGGCAATAACGTCACTGTGCGGGTGATTTATGGCCAACAACTCTTTTATGACCTTCGTTAGTATTTCTTTAGGAGGCACTAAATCACGTATAATTTGGCACAATATTTGCCCATAAATCCAGGCAGTTTCTCGCGTTGCGGTTTTAATGCATTGCAGTAGAACATCAACTTTATCCGTCTGTTGTACGATTATCTCCGGATCATCGTGTACAATGCCGTTACTTAGCTCTGTATTTTCCAGTTGCTTTAACGAGCCTACAATGCAATTATTTCCAATAACAATAACGGCAACAGGAATTAAATATATTAAAACGATTATGTAAAAGTGTGTGAAAAACTAATTTCAATAAATTTTGAATTATCCCGTGTCCGTTATCAGCAGAAAACTCCTTTATGGATTTTCGGAGTCATTGATTTAAAAAGGAAGGATGGTACATTTCATCCACACAAACACAAATGGAATCCTTATCGTCAGTATCCCAGCTAGTTGCCCATTACTTTTCACAATAAGTAGAGTTACGGACTCACGAACTTAAAAGATCTGGCTCATCAATTTTACTCATCTGTTTTGAGAATTTCGATTGGATTTTCAAGTGCACGTTCCCAAAGGTATGCAATATTAGGCATAACAATTCAATCTTACTAAGTAGGGCCATCCGTTCCCAAATGAAATCATTTCAAAATAAAACCGACTCTTAGGATAAAGTAATTTATAATTTTGAGTTAAATATTTCTTCATTTAAACGGTTAGTTCCAAGGAAAATTGCAAATGTACTAAAGAAACAAACAATTAAGATAATTGTATCCAACTGTGGCTGGATCTTCTTATCCTCCAACTTTATCTCAAAAGACTTGAATAAGATTATATTTTAGGATGGGCGTAGTAGACTTTTTGCAATTTTTATACGCGGAAGTTGTTGTCGTTGTCTCTGTTGCAGTTTGCTACTAATAAGCAGATTAGTTTTTGTTCATTTTCAGAACACTATTATGTTGTATCCTGGGCGCGTCCTGTCTCACCTATCCGGCCCATTTTCAATATCAGCATGCGTGTGAGAATATCAAGAGAACTACGAAAAGTAGGATGGTCTTATGCATATAAGAAATAAATATTTCTTATGTCAATCACAGGCGAACGTTGCCGCAATAATTGTATGATTAGAGACGTCCAATCGCATAGTAGAGGTATCCTTTATAGGGTAGGGGAGCCTTCCTATAAAGCACTAAAGGCCAAAGTGCCAATCTCTTAGCCATTATGTCCATCATAAACAATCAGCAGCCAAAGGATTGATTGCTGTGGAAGTCAATATGAATTTCGCTTAACGACAAAGAGTAGTCATTTCAGGCGGTTAAGGTGTTTAGAATAATAGAAAAGAATAATTTAATACTTAAGAGTGGATAACAAGTATTTAGATATTCCGTTGTATTAAAAGCAGCTGTCGAAACAGTCTATTGCCAAGAGTTTGGGAATTAGTTCTTTAATAATATATTAAATATCAATAACTTATTTATTGATAACCACCTATACTAACGAAGTAACCTACACGAACGCAAATTTAAAAACTTGGCAAATAACTATAACACTTCGAGCACGCATATGTATGCACAGTAAGCGTCTACTGCTGGCAAAAGTTAATTTGTCAAATAAAGTACAAAGGATCCGAATCGATAAGTTTCCTAATAAAAATGGAAACATCAAATTGAAATAAAAAAAATAAAAAAATTAAAATGAAACCGAAAATGAGAAAACCTTCATAGACCACGTAGAAGTGACAACAATAATATATATATATATAACTAAATACTGTATACATATATGTGTATATATATATAACTAATCTAGATTTGTTCATGCTCACTTACTATGTTATGTGTGTTATTTTCTTTTGGATTGTGAGTGGCGTTGTGTGTGTGTGTGTGTGTGTGTGTGTGTGTGTGTGTGTGTGTGTGT